TGTTTGTCTCTTTGGTTATAATTTAATACTTTTTTTGGGTTTTTGAATTCTAGTCATATAAGCCCTTCCTGTATCACAACAGTATACTCTTCGAACTATTGTACAAGGCACACTGTAAACATTTCCAGTTGATCTTTGAGTAGGGATTCGATATTTTGATATGAGTACAATATTCTGCGGAATTTGAAAATATCGATATCCAGTTATTATATTTCAATATTTTAGTTGTATGCAAACCTATTCTGAAAGATTTATCAGAAATGACAAAATTTCAGAACCCAATGGAGTATTAGTTTATTTAAAAGCCACAGTCAGTACTGTCGTTATTGTTTAAGCAAAATAGGCAACAGCCTAGGGCGGCAAGGTAGATGTGAATTGTGGTATTTTCTGGCACGCGGATGACACGCTGAGGGCCAGCTAACTGAAGGTCTGATTTGGTTCGGAAAATACCAAACTACAGAGTGTGTTTGTGTGTCTCCCTCTTTGAATTCTGACCAAGTTTGTGATAAGAAATTAAGCAACACACAACAACCTTTAATCACAAAATACAAGCACAGATAAATAAACTACACCATAAATATAATAAGGGCAAGTGTTTCTGATACGTTTGTTCAATTGGTAAGAGAAATGAAAAAAAGTTAATAAATCTCTCCAATCAGTCTAGTGCAAGCCCTCTCTATAAGCTCAAAAGAATGTTGAACTAAAGATTAAAATTAACTCTGCTAAGTTAAAAACAACGAAACGTTAAATGTAAATAAAGTCTAAAGTTGAAAAATCGTAAAGAAAAGAATCATTTAACAAAGGAAGTACTTGCTTCAAATACAAAACAGCAATAATACACAAATAGCCAGCTTGCTTACGGAATGCTCATCGTTCACGTGACCTTTATTCACTCTATTTAAGAGCTAGGGCGTTGCAGCCCCAGACCACTTTCCGATTCGCCAACAGAAAATATAGTATTTATATCTGGGATGTCACGAGCTATTTTTCCTGCAAAGGACTTGGTTAACGGATAAATAATTAATGAAGCAAGTCATTGACACAGCTAGAAAAAGGGATGCGTTTACTTGAACGACTTTCTGTGTCCAAATTGAACTGAAAGAAAAACAGAAATTTCGAACATTTTACATATTAACTCAGGGAGGAATTAACAAATGATAACATCCTGTACCACAGATGCAAAAGACAAATACTTTTGCTGATTAATTAATTTGCCAAGGTCGTGAGCATATACACTACTATGTATGTTGTATCTCAACCAGTCTTATGAGCTTCATATTGGGCAAAAGGCCTCATCAGCACTCGTATATAGATATAATATGGGTGACATATTATTACATTCTCCTTTGCTTTCACTTATAAGTTCTTGAAATAACTAATATAGTATTCCGTTAACTCATCGGAATCAAAAAGACTAGTTTACTTGTTCGCCTGTTCTTATGAAAGATGAATAATGTTAAGTCAATTAAAATAAATGATTCAATAATATTAACAATAAGCAGTCTGGTGTTAAAATCTATATAAATATAATAGTACTGTATGTTGTATGTCCATGTAACTGCTTCTCAGGGTGTGGATGGATCTTCACGAAAATTGGTATTGAGGTTAATTAGGTTCAAGCGGGGGTACATACAAATGTACAGTTTTGCATTTTACATTTTGCGGTTTTTATGGGCGTTTTTGACTCTTTTACTACTACTTTGCCCCCGTAGATGGTTCTTCACCAAATTTGGTATGGAGGTTCCTTGAGTCCATAGAGAGATACATACAAATTTTCAGTTTATCATTTTGCGTTTTGCAATTTTATGGACGTTTTTTATTTGTTTTTTACTACTACCTAACCTCCTCTGGATGGATCTTCACCAAATTCGGTATGGAAGTTCAATGGGTCCATGGGGAGATACATACAATTTTCAGTTTTGTATTTTGCTTTTTGCGGCTCTTATGGACGTTTTTTATCACTACTTCTCCCCCCTTTTGATGGATCTTCACCCAAGTTGGCATGAAGATTTGTTGAATCCATGGGAAGATACATGCAAATTTGCGGTTTCACATCTTGTGTTTAGCTGTTTTTATGGGCGTTTTCTTCGTTTTTTTTACAATTACATATAAGGGAAGCAACTTTTTCTGTCCTCAGATAACCTTTCATTAATCATGAATTTATAGCTTCCGTCCAGGAGATGGGTCCTCCAGCTAGTTAATAAATATTTTGATGGTATTGGAAGTAATAAACCTAATTCTGAGGTGTAAGGATTTACATAACATTGTTAACAATTAATCTAGTTAATGTCGAAAGAATTGTTGTTTAATGTGAATAGTGTCTCGACCTCTACTGTAGTGTCTCGACCTCTACTGTTTCTGTCCTATCCCAGCGGCCCTTGGTATTGGGCCGATACTAGATATAGCAGATATAATGTAGTTGACAAATTATTATATTACTCATTAGTTTAACTTAAAAGTTTTCATAATTAACTCTCTTGTAGCCAATAAGTGAAAGGGGTGGATGGTCTAGTTACCCTTCATATACAGTAAAAGTATATCGTGAAAAGACAGAATTTTAGTTCTTGTTTTGTTTTTTAGACAATGTACAGAAAAAATATTAGAAAGTTATTTTTTAAGTGTATGAAAGTTTGTAAAAAAATACAAGGTAATTAAGAAAGTGATAAATGAAACAATGATAACTCGAAACTAATTAAACAATAAACTAAAGAGAAACATTGCCAATGAAGGCATCTTTTTTTTTCTGGTGCTCAGTATATGAAAAGAAAAGTAGACAGCTTTCTGAATACTAAAATGTGTTCCTTTTAAGTTTTTGTAGTGCGACAAAGAAAGTGAAGAATTTACAATTAGAACAAACACGTCAAGAAACTACTTTTCTGTATAAGAAATGCGAAGGTTTCACAAAGGACCATTTGTCCATAGTCATCCCTAATATAAACTTGTAAGCTAGAGGAAAGCAGCTGGTCAATAGCACTCACTCCCAACTCTTGCACTGCGCTTGTCTGATAAAATAATGAGATTTAACTGTTACTCCTATAGTGCATCCATACAGGATTCTATACATGGGTATGATTTTGCGACAACAAGCAACAAAACATTATCTTCGGATTCACATTGGAGCAAATTAAATACTAGTTCACGCCTACTAGTACTGGAATTAATAAATATAACGGCATCAAAAATTTGTGATTCGAACAATTCTAAAAACATAAATGTAGAGAAAACTAAAATACATATGCATTCGATGTGGGTGATCGAGTTAAATGGCTAAGAATTTACTCAAAAGTTATTGGTCAAATGGATTCAATACGACTGCAGACACTTGACTTTCCCAAAGAATGAAATGAAAATATAGCAGAAATAACAACACAATAAGTTCAATACTCGGTTACAAGCTATTAATGATTTATTTTAACTGCAAGATCTTCAGCACAACAGTTGACTTTTCACTGCTGTCAAACAGAACAAAAGCCTGGAAAAATTGGCAGTTCTTTTAAGTCAAGATGTAAAGTCAGCAAAACATCAAGAGGCATTTAATCACCGAGAAGAATTAGAATCGATTGAAAATGATCCAAACAATTAACATGGAAATTTACGCTTAATAAATTTAATGGTGAAATATTACCGAATTGTATTTGAAAGACTTATCGACTTAATTGATAAGAGTTCATAGAACTTAAAATACTGGTCTTCAAGGAAGTCATGAACAGCTTTTCACGTGGCAATTTCCTATGTACGTTAAGTATTTGACCATATTTGAGCTTATTATGAAAGAATCATAGAAAGAATGTCACTCAGGAAAATCATAAGCACTATCTTGGAAAGATATTTTAGAATAAGCTGGTTCATTTCTTGACCAACAAGACTCAGACTCATGTGTTGAATGTTGCTAGAAATGTCAAGTATTGTTCGGTTTTGTTTGACTGTATTTGTGACATACGTTAGATAGAATAGACGAAATGGCAATTCGGTTTGTCAAAGCTACTGAGGGATTTGTAACTGAAAATGGTGAAGTCAGTACCAACCAGCATTTCCTCGAATTTTTGCTGCTAAGTCAATCAAAAGTAATATACAGTAATATAAAAGTAATATAGCGTTGAATATTAAATCACCAGCAATTGAAAGCTTTCTAAAATATCACTATTATGTTAAGGAAATAACAATAATAATTAAAAGCAACATATAAATAAAATGCATGCCTGTGTAAAAGAAGTTGTTACAATGCAAGTTTTTGTGTGAATACTGACATTGGCTGTGCTAGCAATTATTGATTTATCAAATTAACGTTTAAAGCGTGAATTATTACTTACAATTATAAAGCTTACACTTACTTCAGCATATGAGTATTCACCTTATAAACCAATATGTGAGAAATTATTTTTATGACATGTGCGATACTTCTAATACCAGATCGAAACTTGCTTTACGTACTGACAGCTATTGCGTGACACATTTTATGCAAACTATAGAATACATTACATGCTCTTAAATTAACAATTAACACACATCATGTTATAGCATTTGCTCGTAAATTCTGCATATATGTAAAAATTATAATTTTAAGTCTGAAATGCATTACACAAGCACTCACTAATACAGGGGCGTGTCCACCAAGGTGGCGGGGAGAAATTCCCTCAGCTTAGATATCAGGATATAATCTTTTATATGTTTAGATTCTCTCTACACTCTAACTCCCATTGATATGGAAGTTTTTTTAATGTGGGGCTTACTGCCCCCAAACTAACTTTGACCCTTCTTACCTTCCCCCTAGAAACGCCACCGCGCCATCTAAGAAATAGATTTATACAAGCTGGGTAATTACCACTATTTGTATACAATGGTAAGCAACAAAGTGGCCATATAAAACTGTAAAGTTTTTACTGCTCTTTAATGATAATTACAAACTAGGTGTCCTAGCATATGTCATTTTAAGGTAGCACAGTAGGAACGCCAATGGTTTTAAGCATTTTATATTAATTTCACTCATGTTGGTTCTAATGTTAGCTCGATGTTTATAATGCTCATTGTGATATTTCATCAAACTTCTTCCGAATTTTCTCTGTGTCATTTGTACTGTATTAGAAATGTTACAAATTAAATGTTTTTAAGTCCTTAAATATACTGTAAGATTAAACGTCTTTGCTGCGTGGTTTTGAAGATATAACGGTGAAATAGAAACCCGAATCTATTCAACTACGTTAAATTTTTCACTAGAAAATATGTGTTTAAGTACCCTTGTTTGTTTGTTTGTTTATGACAAAGCTGCTAAGGCAATTTTTTATTGCCGACCACAGAGAAGACAACCGGTCGGTAACACCCACCGACAACTATTAGGCTGTCCTTTCCCAACGAATAGCGGGATTAACCGTCATATAATAAAACCCCCGTAACTGAAAGGAAGAGCCTGTTCAGCGCCGGATTTTGGTCACGCGACCCATGGGTTGCGAGTCGAGTGCCCTAACCATTAAATCATACACCTGAAATATACAGAAACATAATAAAGTGTTTGAATTTTAAAACGGAAAATGTAAAAAGAAACAATACCTATAAGCATAAAGTTGGAAAATATAAGGAAATTTCAAAACATGTATGGTGTTCAGATTCTAACAAATATTGAAATAACTCAATGTGTTGAGATATAGATAAATAGATATAAATACACTGCTATAAATATTGTCTATGTCATGATAAGTTTCCAGATACAAGTAAACGCTATCGTCATATCATATGTGCACCTCGGTTTAAATGAGCTCATAACGTAAGAAGGGATACATTCTTAATTATAAATTAGGATATTAAGTTAGTACCGTAATTTATGCAGCACTAGACTAGTAAAGATGCATTAATTTATTAGTAGTGCTTGCGATCTTGCTTAAATATTTAGTTTTTCGTTAGGTGGCGCCTCCAGTGACACAACTGTAAATCTACGGACTTATAACGCTAAAAACCAGATTCGATACCCGTGTTGGTCATAACACAGACAGCCAATTGTGTAGCTTTGTGCTTAACAATAAATGCACTTTAGTGGCTCTACTTTTATAAAGATTTATTTTGAAAACTGAGAGTGTTTGATTCACTTACTGATTTATTTTGTGATTTTTCTGTTATTAAAAGAAGCTTGTCTCCTTCTGTTACAGTGTCCATAATGTCTTTTCTTAAATCTTCTTTAACAACGAGCACCAGCTTTGTTTTACCCGACAAGATGGACTTCTTTTTCAGCTGTTAAAATTGAGTTAAGAGAGAGAAAAATTATAAGTCACTACAGATATGAATACATAAGTCCGTATTTCATAAGTTTAACTTGTAAATCTTCATTTATAAGCCTAATAACATGTATTTTGACGTCTAAGATGTTGAAAATCGAAATTATAAAGTCTGTAGTTAGTTACGATATTGCACAATTGAGCTTTTAATACGCATTCTCATAGTTGATTTAGTTGTTGAAATACGCACTGTCCCTAATTTTGAAGTCAATACACTACCAACCTGTGAGTTACTCTAACCGAATAGTGATAGTTACTCTCATTACGCACCAACGGCTCCTTAATGATTTGTTTTTTTATATAAGATGGTAATGAGGCGCGGACCGCGAAACCCCGGGTTCACAGTCCGGCACGCTAACCATTTGCCCGCGTTTATTATACTTAGAGTTTTTAAACTTACATTAACAACTTTATTTAAAAGTGTGTTGGAGAGTAGAATGATGATGTCCCAAAATAAGAGCTAATAGATTCGTCTATATTATATTTGAACTAATTAGCACGACAGGTCAATCGCTGGTCTTTTAAAATGTTATGGAAATTAATACAATCTTTAGCATGGAAAAAAAGAAAACTTTAAACATAATATATATTTCGAGAGACATCTTATTATAGAAATATGCTATTTTCTTCATTCTTAAATTAATAATAATCCATAAAATGTATTCAAATTTGAAAGTTAGATAATTCTAATAAAATCTGAAAACTGCTAATTTTCAATCTGTATAAGAACTTTTAGGAGATCTCATGTATAGTGATGAAGCTTTTGTGCATAGGAGTAAAGGAAAACATTATACTACCAAATTTATTGGCGCAATTATTTTACGAAGTCGTACACTAGTTGAAGCAATTATTTCACGAAGTCGTACACTAGTGGAAGCAATTATTTCACGAAGTCGTACACTGGTTGAAGCAATTATTTCACGAAGTCGTACACTAGTTGAAGCAATTATTTCACGAAGTCGTACACTAGTTGAAGCAATTATTTCACGAAGTCGTACACTAGTTGAAGCAATTATTTTACGAAGTCGTACACTAGTTACAACATTCAATAAGTTCAGTAAAATGTTAATCTTTAACCAAATTTTCTGAACTAATGAAAGGTATTTAGGCTTTAATACCCGGGGTGTTCTAGAACTGATCAATTCTCCGCCCCGCTCGAGGTATTATGTTTGACTTAGTGAAAAATAATTATGAATGATAATAATTAAATAAACCTATTAACAATGAAGTGACGTATCTTCATATAAACTTACTCCAGATGACTTGATTTGAAGATCTTGGAAGACTCGTAATAAAAATCGTATTTTCAAAACACAAATTTAAAGTTTTCTTTTCATGCTTTTTTTTTAAGTATTGGGATGTACAACTTTCAACTTTATCAAATCTTGACTGTGAAATGTTTGAATTTCGGTTTATTGAGAATAACACGATGAATGTAATATATCTTAGTCCATTGAGTGTAATATATATTTTCCATATTTTTATGCATTGACTGTGATTTATCTTCCAATATTCTAATGATTACTGTAACGTTTTTCCAATATTCTTGTGCTTACTGTGATGTTTTCAAAATTTCTAATTTACTGACTATAATGTAATATATTCTAGTGCTGATTGTAATATGTTTTCTAACTTTCATTGTGTTGAATTTAATATGTTTTCTAACTTTCATTGTGTTGAATTTAATATGTTTCTAACTTTCATTGTGTTGAATTTAATAGTGCTGACTTTAATGTTTTAACTCTTAGTTTGTTGACTGTAATATATTATCCAACTTCCAATTTCTTGAATTTAATATATTATAGTATATTGTATGTAGCGTATTTTCCAGTTTTGGGTATGTTGTAATATATATTCTAACTTTCTAGTGTGTTCATGTTATGTGTTTTCTAGTATTCTAATGTTAGATATAGTTTTTTCTTCCAGATTTCTAGTGTGTTAATTGTAATATTTATATAAATCTTTCTGATATGGCAACTATAAATGCATATTCCAGGTGATTGGGTGTTCCTTATATTCTAATTTTCTCGTTTACAAACATTAATGCATTTTCATACTGTTAAATATTTCGAAACATTTTTACCTCTTTCAACGCTTCAGAATTTGTTATCTTGTCAAAAATTCCCAAAACTACTTTCTTATTTGGCAGGTAGAGACCTGAGTGTTGAGGTGGAACCAGAGAATCGGAAAAATTCAAAGCAAACAACGATGTCGTTACTCCTCCTTCATGAAGTTTCTGTATTACGAGCTCAGTTCCTTGTGTTGCAGAAGAGAAAAACCATATAATTACTTCGCCTTATCAATATGTATTTCATTAATTATTTTAAAGCTCCAGATAAGAAAATCCAACTTTCTTGCATTCTTAAGAAACTGTTTATCCAAAGCTTTTGTTGGCATTACTTTTGTAAGTGTTTAGATCTGAAAAAAAAGGCCTCAAGTCGAAACTCATGAAACATTAAAGTAAACTTGTGTCCTTGTTTTGAACCCAAACTATTACGCATCATCGTAATGGAAATATGTTTAAAAGTTTCATTACAGTGAGCATGAAGTCATAAATGTCATCCACGGAGCATAATTTAATCGGTGACATTTTACTGAGTATAATCTTATAAGTGCCATATTAATAAACATAAATTTACAGTTATCAGTATCTTGAGCATACAATGGGTATCAGTATGCTGTGTATACTTTTAGAAATGCTATAAGAAGCAACATAACCCACCGACAGTTTCACTCTATAGCATCAAAACTCTGTAAGTTACTTAGGCCTCCTGGTGTGTCTAAGACTGGGTTGGCCAGTAAGTTTTTTTTTTTTGTAGAGGATTGGATATTACGTACAAAAAGTGCCGAAATATATATTCATTATATTTCATTGTCAAAACATCGACCTCTCTCAAGCAACTGAAAACTCTTAAATAAAAATTAGTTGAGTTTTAAATTTTGAGTTAAAAATTGAAACTTAAAAGTTAAACAACTAGCATTTTTATACCCCTTAGAATTTCTTAGTTTTTCAGTCATACTGAAGCTGCATATAGATGACACTGTTATGTTCTTGATGCTTTATGGCCTAATAATCTTCCCAAGTTAAAGCAAGTCCTCGGATATTTTCAAAATTTAGTCTGTTAGGCTTAATTTAGGTAGGACAATACTGCAACATTTTTATAATCATTATTTACTTTATTATTTATCTATTTATTTTTATTGGCTGTTACTACTTTCGTTAATTTCCTAATATTATTTTGAGATCTGGAAGTAACTAAACAAAACTTTTACTATTTTAAATGTTATTATACATTGAAATCCGATTTGAAGAATTTTCATTACAAATTAATGTATTCATGAACTTGCCATTTAGAAGCACATCATTTTCTTTATTATACATTGATATTTACTAAAACAAGCACAGATTCCTATTATTTCACTCCTAAAGACAGCTATCTTGCGTACACTGTGAAACATTACTGATTTTTAAGATACATTATATTTGCTTTATTTACTAGACTTGAAATAGCCAAACTGACCTGAACGAATGTGCATTTAGAAATAAATATTATGAAATATTTCTTTACATCATAGGGATTTTTTTTACATCTTGATAATTCTCTTTAAACCAATGTCTTTTTTATTTTTATTAAATATAATATTTTCTATTTTTGATTGAGGTACAATGTTTCGCATATATTAATGAAATATGCTAATCCATTTATATATTTTTAAGACATAATTGAAATATTTCTAAGTATGGACGATAGGATAATTTGAAATACTTTCTAGTTACAAATCCAGGCCCCCCAGTGGCACAGAGGTATGTCTGCGGACTTACAACGCTAGAAACCGGGTTTCGATACCCGTGGTGGGCAGAGCACAGATAGCCCTTGTGTAGCTTTGTGCATCATTAAAAACAAACAAACAATACAAACCCAGTGATATGATTTTTTAAACTTTTATTTTTTAACATTTCATACTTACAGCAAAAGAAAGGAAGAACAAGAAAGTCAGTTGTTTTATACTCCTTCTCTCAAGTGTATATCAAATTTTTAGACATCTACCTCGCATCTGTTGGCTGCATTGTAAACAGCGTTCATGTAACACACTTTAATGTCGCTATAAATGAAAGATCTTAAATTCGACTCGTTGCATTTTGATCATATTTACAATTCCTCAGTGGGACAGCTGTAAGGCTACGGACTTGCAATGTTAAAATACCGGGTTTGATTCCTCGCGGTGGACACAGCAGTCAGCTCAATGTGGTTTTGCTATAGAACATACACATATATTGTATAGGCTAAGTGCACAGTCTTTGACAGCAGTTTATTTTTTGGAAGAGTGGTGAACAAGTATCAAAGTAAAAATTAATATGTAAAAATATTAGTTGTCCATAGCTTCACTTCTAAAGCGCGTATCTGTTGTACTAAGAACTTAGAGCTTTGGAGACATTTTGAAAGTTATGAATATATCATTGAAATTTCTTGCACTCTGTGAAGCATATTTAACTAAATATCAACTAGAAATTATTCCATAAATATTGCGTTTCTTGTTTGTTTTTGTTTTTTTAATTTCGCGCAAAGCTACATGAGGGCTATCTGCGCTAGCCGTCCCTAATTTAACAGTGTAAGACTACAGGGAAGGCAGCTAGTCATCACCACCCACCGCCAACTCTTGGGCTACTCTTTTACCAACGAATAGTGGGAATGACCGTAACATTATAACGCCCCACGGCTGAAAGGGCGAACATATTTGGTGGGATGGGGATTCGAACCCTCGACCCTCAGATTGCGAGTCGAGCGCCTGAACCATCTGGCCATGCCGGGCTTGCGTTTCTTCTCTTGGGTGAATAATGGGCTCGTTGTAAATATATATATATATATATGTGTGTCGATGTTACATACTCAGTGAAATCCAGACTAATAATAAACTAGAGAAATTTAATATTGTTCTGTTGTACGTTTATAGTAGTTTTATGTTGATCTATCAGTATTTAATTTCCAAGCATGTGTTATAACATACAAAAAAATTATATTTTATGTTCACATAGAACTTATGTTTCCGAATGATTTTATAACATTTAAAAAAAGGAGATATTCTATGCTATATTAACATAGAATGCTAAAACTGCATCCTCTTAAATCTCCTGAAAGGAAACAAATAAATAGAAGAGACATAATGATGGTTTTTTGTTCACTTCGAGGAAATGTTTATAGTAAATAGCTAGTGATGAAACATATTAGCTTCTTTCCATTGCCTATACAATATCTTGAAAACAACGTTTTAAGCGTTTGATTTTGGTAGATTGTTGTCCTTCTACATATTTCTTTTGAGGAACTCGCCTTACAAAATAGTTCCCATGTCTGTAATATTTCGTACAACAGCAACGCAACTTAAAGATATTTCCAACCAGCCTTTACACGTGTAAGTAAGTTAAACATTAATAAGAAAGCTTTAAACGTATACTTACAATTAGCTTAAAAACATAAGCTAGCTTAAAAACTGGTGACGTATTATATCACATTTTCATTTTCAGCGGTCCATAATTCTACATTCTATTTTTAATTTTATACTGTTACGTGGAAAAAAAGTAAATTCAGCTTAAGATTTTAAAGCTGAAATAATAATAAATATGTAACAATCAAAAAGCTACACTTATCTTTTCTAGAATGAATAACATCAATATGTCGAATATGAAGCCGTTTTACAATATCTCTGACAACTTCACTTAAATGATGAGGATGACATATTGGATTGGCATATTCTGTGGACTTCGCAAAACATGAGTACAAATAGACATTTAAGAAATATGCTAAAACAAGTTTCTTCAGCATGATTGAACCCGTGACTTAACTTTGAATCAAAGCTATATATACACTACCCACACTTGCTCAGAGTCGCCCAATGGGAGTACTCTTAACGTCAGTCAATTAGATCTAACAGTTTCGGTTAGGAAAATATTTAGGCTGTCAATAAAACTGTAGAGTTTTGCCCGATTAAATCTTGCCTTAGATTATATGTTGTTGATGGACAAATAATATATAAAG